TTAGGTTTACAGCAGATGACGACTTAGCCCTTCTAAGAGAATTAGTTGCTTGTTGCCCTAAACCCATTGGCAGACGTTGAACAATAAAGCACTGGAAATAAGCACTTTAACCCTTTAGTTTTAAAATACCTAGTAAACAAAACAATTTCAAAATTTTAAATTCAAAGTTAGGTTAAGTGTAACTAGCGGACGCGACGCGATCAGAATTCTTTCCGATCCGATAACTATAAATGAAGAGAGTTAATACCACCTCACGTAAAGGAAATAACACCTGGCCTTATTAACGTCCATGCACGCTATTCGGTTTAGCGATATCTCTCTACTACGCTGTTTATTGTTATTTTACGCGAGTTTATTTTTGCGCACAGGAAATTTGACTTGTTTGCACATCGTCATAAAAAACAATATTCGTACAACGAATTAGGAACAAGATTTTTATCTGTATACTTATAGGATACTTAATCTGTGTTTTTATATTCAAACATATTCAAACATATAACTAATAAATATGACATTTTAATAAAACTTTTAAATATTGCAGTAAATAGTGAAAATAAATACAGAATGATATGTATTTTTGAGAAGCCTATGGCTAGCAAGATCATACAATTTATAAATGATGTTCCATTTAAGAAAACATAACTTTATTTCATATCTTTAAAAATGCTCTTTTCGTATAAACAGACTACGTCACTGTATTCTACATAAAAAGTTCTACAATAAACAGTTTTCACCTTTTCGATACCTTTAACAGTAACAGATATACAGGTAATTAAAACAGGTGTCCCAAATTGCAAAATTTTCAAAAAGACCCTGTAGCTCAGAAACGAAGAGGGCTATGAAAATTTTATTTAGACAGGTACAACAAGGGTGCAAACCGCACCCTTCTATCTTCACTAATAACGGAATACATTACGTGAAATCAGATTTATATCATTTTATATTTTGGTTCTGTTTAAATTTGAATAAAGAGAATTAAAAAAACTAGAAAAACAAAAAATTTAAGAAAAAATTATACTTTCTAAAATCTATGATTACTTTGTAAATATATCCTTCATTTCTTCGTTTTATATAATAGTTAAACTAGGCAACTAGTAGCAAAATGAAACATTAAACATAACCATTGCAAACGGAAACCTATACTTAGCAGGTGAAAGCGTTTACCTAATTGAATTAATAACATAAAATATACTTTCAATGTGTAATCCGTCAATTTGTCTGTCTCACTCAGTGGCGGAGCCGGAAATTATTTTAAAATAGATCTTTTTAAAGAAATTGAATTAGTTCTGCATTTATTTGTCCGTTAGGCAAATTTGTAAAAATACCGCAGGATCGTGATTAATCAATGACCAGATTTTTCGAAACACCCTGTATACATTTTTAAAAAATCTTAAAATATGTAAAAAACAAAATGAAATATACGTATTTAAGCGTTTTTTCGGAAAGTTGACCGTTTTTTAAGTTTTTTTCCTCTTGGAACTGGAATTTCGAAAAATCCCTTCTTATCGAACCTCTACACCCTAGAATCAACCTGTATGCCAAAATTGAGCTTCTTACGTTGAGTGGTTTGAGCAGGATCGTGATTAATCAGTATGTCAGTCACTAAAGGATTAGTATAGATATTTATTTAAAGACTTCTACCGTCTGCTCGCTAAAAAATGCATCAGTGAAGATACAACTCTGTTTAACCATGAATGTGTCAACAGCTCTCATCTCAAGAGACGCTACTGCTTGCAAGCCTCACTAAACCAGATTTTGAACACAGATTAAGGAACTCTGCACAAGTTAGATAAATACGATATCGATTTCTTGATGCGTGTGTACTTGTAACGCCGGTTTTAATCGTATTAAGGACTAACTGGAAAGTAGCAGCAAACTCTCGTTTGCCTTAAGTACCTTCTAGTTAAGGCATTATTTTCTCTCTCTCTCTCTCGAGCACCTGTGTGCAACATTTCGCTTGACGCACGTCTATGCAAATGAAAATTAAATTGTATTTAACCGCGTTTATTTCTCTATCACATAAAATTGTGTTAGTTAAGAAAACATGTTTCTATACCTGCCTTTTTAGGTTGAGTTTTTAATTAATTGCATTGAATGAATGGAATTAGGCTCGGAATTAGGTTTTAACATATACAGGGTGTTTCAAAAACATGAGCCATCTCTCGTCGGGACATTCCACAGGTAAAAATAAGATTTATTTTTCATATCAACACATGGGTTCCAATTCTCTTCATTTTTTTTTGATGTATTATAATTTTCTTCCAAGTGCTTACTTAAATGAATGAAATTGGGAGGGTAAAAGTGACTATTAGTGCTAAAGTGCTATATTGTAATGCTAAAAAAGTGTTGACCGATTTACCAGGGACGTGCATATTATGCGTTATCATTAGAAAAGTTTTCTAAAAAAAAGCAAGCTTAATCACGTGATTTAAGCTTAATCCCGTGACTAAAGGTTCATTTGATATGAACTATAATAAACAAACAAACAAACAAAGACAAAGAGCCTTTTATTGTACAAAAGCCAAAGAACAACTTCATCGACAAAGCACTCACAAACAAGCAAAATCCTGAAAATACAAACAACAAAATACACAGTACAAAAATGCAATTCAAAAAATTAAGTCTTTAAAATTACAAAAGGGCCATGGACAATTTTAGGTACGCGGTAAATGGAGTACAATTGTTGGTTATAAAATGTAAATGCCCGACCTTTGACCTGTGTGGGATGATCAAAGATTTTAAAATTCAAAATTGTTCATAGTCAAACATCAACAAAAGAGTCGTTTACCGCATATAGGGCTCTCTCTAGTAGGTATGATTTTAGAACTTTGCGAAATGCGGGAAAGAATGAAAACGACTTGATATTCAAAGGCAGATGATTGTACATTTTTTGGCATTGTACTGTATTGAGGCTTTAACTAGTTCTGAGCTCGGGGTTGGCAGATAGAGATCATTGCTCTGCATTCCTAAGTGGATAGTTATGAGATGGCCTTTAGGGAATAGCAGATATGTGCTTACGGATTAAGCAGACGGATTCAAAAATGAATAAAGAAAGAAAGAGTCAATATTTTCAAATTTTTAAGAAATTCTGGCTAGGAGTTCTACTGGTCAGTCCCAATAAATATCGAACTGCTCTCTTTGAAGTCTGAAAACACAATCAAATTTTAGTTTGCGCAGCAAATCCTCCGGAATGGAAGGGCATCACGAAGATGTGACTCAAAAGGGGCATAATAGGCTATTCTAGGGGTTGAGAAGTTAAGTTCCTTAGAAACCCAGTCTTAGCGCGAAACAGGCAGCACCCAGGTTTTGCTGTTTTTAATGGAAACTTCGATGTGAAAGTCCCATTTAACGAGTTGTCTACAACCAGTCCCACCTACGAATTTCACAGAGTGCACGACATCAATGAGTGGTGTTATTAAGTACAAAAGGTTGTATATGGAGTACTTTTTATGAAATAAAACTTTAGTTTTTTGATAGGTTGAGGCATAGGAAATTAGAATCGCACCAAGAGACTTAATGATACGTAAAGTCACTGGATATGAGTATCATGTGCCATTGCCGTAACATCTGGGCCACTCCAAGTGAACTAGTATTGTCCGCAAATAGGCAGATTTTACCGCTAGTGTCTAGATTTGCAATGTCGTTGATAAACAAAATAGGGCCAAGTACTCTGATCCCTGAGGGACACCACATTCTAGAGGCTTACAAGAAGACATAGACATCAATCCTCACAAGTTGCCTTCTGTTGCTAAGGTATGACTTAAGCCATCAAAAATACAATACATATACCTAATATGAGCTAAATACGCACACTTACTAATAAGTAATAATAATTTATAATGAGTAGTTATATTTTATGTTGCGTTTTTATGATAAATGGTGAATGGTGAATAGTTTTCTACTCTTACCCTGGAAAAACAACAGGACAAGAGTTTTCGGACAG